CCAAGATTTTCAAATTGATCCCACAATAATAACAAAAAAGGAAGCACTATTTCCGATATGGTCATGAAGTCATCATAAGTAGAAGAAAACTTGCATAATAAACCAATACAACTTCTTTATAAACCTAAGTGAAAATCATAACATCAAGAAATTATAACTTCTCAGGCTGTGATCTCCTTCTTAAGCTTTGCAAGCTCCTGCCTGACAACGCCGGCTTTCTGCATTGTCGAAGTAAAAGCAGTTACATGTTTAATATTGAAGTCATGAGATTAAAATAAAAAACACACAGGTATAGAGTAATCGTACTTAGCATTAGTGCATTTTTGGCTTAAAAGTAACCAAAGCTACTTCGGTAATTTTTTTTTTATTTTTTTTTTTATGTTTTCAAACACGAGGTCATTTATTTTGACAAAAGGGCATGGTTGACTTTCTTAAAAATTATCTATTTATTTTGTAAGGATCTCACTTACAAAAGTTATCCATTTAAAGTAACTTATTTTTTATAGAGAGCATATAAAGGTAAAATATCCTCCTACCCGTGCATGAAAATCAATAAAATCTGCCATGAGTAAATATCAATGCAAACGTAGAATACCTTGATTTTAGCCAACATTAGCTTGAACCTATCAAAATCGTTCAGTGAGGCCCTTCTCCTCTGCACAATCAGCTTCCTTCCCCATGAACTGTTTTCCCACTTGTTTTTCACATCTGCCACAAGAGCCATATTTTTCAATTTCATGATATCAAATAATTATTGTGGTACAAGATTTTTAAAATTCCAATACTTACCAGCAGCCTCCATTGCAGCAATAAGAGTCTTCTTCTTCGGAACCCTTTTGATGTCAATCTTGATGTCAGTAAGTTGCAGCCTTTTAAAATTCATTTGGCTCCGCACCATGTCAGGGGCATCCACAAGAGCCTGCCAATTCACAAATAGTTTAATGAAAAGATTCGAAGTCCAATTTTCATTTCTTTAACATGAACTAAGCTACCAAAAAAATATTCTGACTACTTGTAATCGAAACTGCAATAGATATTAACGTTTTGTATTCAGTTGATTCCATGAACACATTAATAAGATCAAATGAAGTTATTATTATCGTTTTTAAAAAGACAAAAGAGGAAGCTACCCTTGTGTGTGTTTAGCTGCGCCCAGAAGTTACTCCTCTAAAAAGCTAATATTTAATTTCTAGAAAAAGTAAGTTTTATTAATCATCAGCAATTTTGGGGTGTGGTTAAGGTTCTTATAAGAACGAGAAGCAAGCTTTGACAAAATATCTTTTTAGCTCGGAAAAAATGCTCTAAAGAGAACCCATGATTGAACCTCCCTCATATTTGTGAAACGAAGGGTAAAATGGCTTGTTAAATGTTAACTCAATATTGGAAGTATATAAATTAAAGGAAATTAATCTGCTAGACATCCAGACTGTGACTAATACATAACCTAATCGAAATTGTTTGAGATCAGCATTATATTCCAAGCTTCAACTAGAAATCAAACCCAGATTACACATGTTATCTGCCAGCATTCAACATGCCGATGTAACTGGTTTATATTCCCTTGATAAGAAGGAAGACAGAAACTCCAAATAAATAGAATTATGAGCTCAACCAACTTATTACCGTAGGAATTACAAAACACGAATAAAAAATTATATTTCACCCATCGGTACATATCAATTCAAGACTCTCGCAACAAACAATGATAAAATAAAAGGTACTAAAAATTGAGAAATCATGGAATGCTACAGAAACATAAATTCTCAGATAAATTATTAAAATAGAACATAAAGGAATAAACAGTAATTAGTATAAGGACCAATAAGATTTTCACTAACCCGGTTCTGGTCGATGACATCAACGATGACGACAAGCTTCCCGTAGTCCTTGCCGTAGTTGACGAGAGCCACCCTTCCAATCTCAACGAATCTCTTGAACGGCTATAAACAATTCGTGAGAAAATTAGAACCCGTATTCAACATACAATAATCGAACTAGACATACATATAGTAATGTAGAGAGAAAAGAGAGTTAGTTTCAGTGAGCTCACCATTTTTTACGATCTGTGCGAGAGCTAGAGGAGGAGAAAGGTGCCCGAGATAGAAAATGAGTTAGGGTTTGTAAATGAGGCAAAAGGAGTAGGGTTTTGTATGTGGTTATGGGCTTTCTTTAGTTGAAAATTGGGCCGATTTTAGAATAGATTTTATTTTATAAAGAGAAAAGAACTAGAGGAAATTACAGAAATCCAGATATTTTAAGACGGCAGTGCAAAAATCAGGTGAAAAGCTTTTTTAATCAAAAATAAAATATCCATACAAACCCTAAATCATTCCCCCATCCCTGTTTCTCCTCTCTCCAAAAACACAAGACCCAGTTCACCCCTTTCTTCTTCTTCTCTCTCTAAAATCTCGACCCAGTACCATTATTCTCTTCACCCTAATCTCTTGTCTCTCTCAACAATAGCGGCGCCAGCCCTGAAAGTGAATCTCCGACGCAGTGGTGTTACCACCGAAGGTGGCGGCAGCTACGATGGCGGTGTTACCATCCGAGGTGGCAGCGATATGATGCAGATAGGACTAGCCATTTGTTATCCCATGTTCAGCAACGTGATGGTTGTGGAGCAAAGCGTCTGTCGTCGTCTTCGTCTTCACCGTTGTGCAATCTCCAATAGCGATGTGAACGAAGCTTCAGTAGTCTGTGTACGGTGGGTATGGTGGCACCCAAACGACATTAACGAGAGGTATGGTGGCGCCACGCGATTCAATCGGTGGATAGTAGCGCCATTAGATGCAGATGGTAGATTAGGGCTGCTGTGGGTATGCTTTAAGTTTAGGTAATGATTGATTTACCATTTATAAGACGGCTTATTAAGGCCACTGTGGTGCCGGAGTTTGGGTGTGGTGGTGTTGTGGGTGCTGTGGTGATAGGTTTTCTGTTACCTTTTGGGTGATGGTGGTTGTGATATTGGTTGTCCTCACCTTTCTGTCGTCGTCGCCGCCCGTCATTTTCGCCCACCCCATCATCCACCCCCAGTCCATTTCACCTTAGAAGGAGCGCTTGTTAGAAGAAACGGGAATCACAGTAAGTTTTGTGGCTATGAAATGAGCAGTATTTTGCGAAGCAGATTATCCGCGACGATGAAATGGCATTTGCGAAGCAAATCCACCCACTTACCTCGGTGACTCTTCACAGATCCGTCGCGGCGGTGAAATGAACAGTGTTTGTGTTGTGGCGATTTTGTCGTGGTGTTTTTGTGTGGTGGTGGGGCTGGCGATTTGGGTGGGTAACAGCTTTGCATTGTGTTTGTATGGTGGTGGTGAGGATGATTGTGTGGTGGCGATTTTGTGGTGGTTGATCAGCGGTTGGGGTTGCTAGCAGCGTGGGGGTGATATGGTTGTGTGTGGTGGTATTACTGTGGCAAATTTGGGGATTTTTTTTTTGGTGGGGGTTGTTGAGGTGGTGGACCTGGTGGTCATTGCGGTAGACGGCGGTGGTTGTGACTCGCAATATTTGATACGTGACCTGAAAATTGTGAATTGTGACTCCTGACTCACAATTGGTTAAGTTGTGATCGAAAAATTAATCGTGACCAATTAATTCAATAATTTGGAATGAGTAAATGGATTGTTGATGGGGTGTTGTGGATGTGATGGTATGGTGGTGTTATCGGTACGGTGATGCACATGATGGTGGTGACATCTGTGACCGATAATTAGGCGTCTGTGACCAACTATTTAGTCGTCCGTGACCAAAATTCATATGTCTGTGACCGATAAACTGTGACATATGTGACCTATAGATATAATGTGACTTGTAATTTGAATGATTTGTGACCTCGAAATAATATGTGATCTACAAATTTTTTTATCTGTGACTACGAAATAATTTTGTGACCAATTAATTTGACGATATGTGACCAATAAATAAATTTGTGACCTATAATTACGAATATGTGACCGTTAATCATGTAATTGTGACTTTATTATCTTCATTTAATAAATATTTTTAATTAATTAAATATAAACCTGATTTTTGAATTTTAAAAGAATCTATTTGATTTTTGAATTAGGGTAAACTAAATACCTGAGATGTGAACTCTTCCCAAAGAATTATGCTACACGTAGCCCTGTTTGGCCCACATTTCATACAAATGAAAATGAGTGGAATAGTATTTTTTTTAAAAAAAATGAGTGGTTGAAAATTGAGAAAAAAATTTCAATTTACGTATAATATTATTTTATGGAAGATTGTGTTATTGAAAATAGGAGAGAGAGATAAATAGAATGTAATGTAATTGAATTTAATGGGGGCTCAAACGGAGGCTAAGATGTTTATAATTGTGTCCATTACCCTTACATGAAGGTGAATCCACTTCGATTAAAATATAATTTATCCAAGTGGATCTCTCTCCATGTGAGGAGGGTGAACACCGTTATAGACACCGCATCATGTATAAATAACATATTTCATGAGAAAATTACCCACGTAATAAGGTGTTAGGTATGAACTTTTTTCTTTGGTTAAGAGATAAAAAATACTATTTCTAAAAATTATATACCATTTCTCTTTCTACGCTTGCATCGATCCTCGCCATATCCAACTTCAAACTTCCTCCGCTAGTGGCAGATCCATGACCATCACAACCAACTACTCACCTCTTGCCCAATCAATTTTCTAAAAAGCTCACCTAGGTGCTAGCGAAACGCCTATACTTGAAAGCGTGAAATTAAAAGGTCAACTGTCAAGTTGATCGCTTAAGGCACGCCTAGGCACACTTTATTAATTCTTTTTATTTTTTCCCCCTTTTTAAAAAGGAGTTGGGAAAAATAAAAGAGTCTTACCTTACCTGGCTTAGTCTTTGGCTACTTAACTCTTCCCCTTGCCTACAACCTTAGGTCCTTTTATTTTATTTGGTTTAAAGTTTTTCCTTTGAAATTTGTATAATTTACTAATTATAATAATTATTAATTAAATATAGTATTTTATAATTTTAGATATTTGGTATGTATTATTTTAATTATTAAAAAAAAATTTTTTTTTTTTTTACTCCACATCCTTGCATAGGCAAGTTTGAAGTTTGATGTCTACAACAAACCACGGTTTATACGTTTTAGAATACTGTGCCAAGCCCACAACACTGGAGTCTGCACAATTCCTCCTATCCAAACTCTACAACAACCTCACCAAAGAAAAATTAAATTTAGAGATCTACCATTGAGGTTGCCATTGGTGCACAGCTTCTGACTGAGACAAGTGGAGAGCGAAATCAGAACGTCTTTGAAGCTGCTATTGGTGCGCAAGTTGCGATTGAGAGGGTGGAGAGAGGAATCAAAGCATCATGGTTTGGTGCAACTATGGTGGAATAAAATTATTCTTAGAATCTTTCCTTTTGAAAGTACAACCTCCGCCCAAAATGTTCTTTGATCCAAGGGGATGAAGTAAGATTAAAATCTCTATATTCTTCCTTCGTAAACCATTTTATTACATTCTTCAATTTCATTTCTCTAAAAGGTTTTTGCGTATTTTTTTAGTTCAGAAGTACAAAATATGAGTACAGGATTAATGGATGATGGCTTCTTCTCTCTTAGTTTTTGGGTTGTTTTCGTTAGCGCATAACATAAGCAACAAAATTAGGCTCCACTGTATTCTAAAGGCATTTTACTTTTCCTTATGCATAGTTGGTAGTGGGGGAAATATCATTTTGAGAAGAGCGGAAACACACGACTTGGAATCTATTGCGCCGGTTATAGTTCGAGTTAGTGTTGTTCTTCCAACTTCATCAATTTTTGTTCGGGGAATAGATACGCCAGCAAGAGTTTATATAGGAACGGATTTGTTTATCTTATCAAAGTACACATCAATAACAGGATAATTAATTCGGTAATTCCTCGAGAAACTAAGAAATTAGGACCCCCAGTTTTTTTTACATTTTTATTTATTTTTTATTTTAAAGAATCTGGGAATCCCCCAATCCCTATTACAGAAGAAACAACATAACTTCAGTTTTTCCTTAATTAGGAACCCAGAAATATAAGAGCGTATTTGATTGACATGGAAAATATCATCTAGAAAAGAAAATATTTTTCATCTTTTGTGGAAAATAAAAATCACCTCTACCCAAGGAAAATATTTCCTTAAAAACAAGGAAAATTAGGCATATTTTCAAAAGTTGGAAAATATTTTCCATGGAAAAAAATAGCAATCAAAGAATTTAGATGGAAAATTGATATTTTCCATAAAAAAATAAATGTAATCAAACACACCCTAAGTGAATGGATTGGAAGTTATTGCTACAAGATTCCCACAATATATTTAGGAAAAATTGCAGCCGAGGTATCAAATTTTTCGTTTATTAGCAGACTTTACCCAAACCTTTAGTTTGTACCACTGTGAGTACCAAACCTTTAAAAAATATGCAACTCAAGTTCGTATTAACGATTTTCGTCAGTTTGACCCGAAAAATTGTCAGTTGACTTCAAAAATTAAAAATATAATAATTTTGACCACATAAGGTAAGGGTAAAATTGTAACTCTATAATTTTAATATTAAAAAAAACAATTAAAAAGGGGGGAAAAACCCCATCTCCTCCTTCATCTTCCCCACTCTGAGGTCCAGTTGGAGTCAACAACAGCACCAGGTTTGGGACTGGGGACATCTGTTATTTCTGGGACAGAAGAAAACGATGATACACAATAATGTTGAACGAGAGAAAAAGGAATTCGAGGGACTGATGAGGAAGAAGAAGAAAGAGCCCAAGATTTCATTTTGCCTTTGTAAATTTTGTACAAGAAATACACATTGAAAGCTATAAATCGGTACTGCGAGGTGCGAGCAGAGGCGGAGGGCTACACGACTGCGGAGGCAGAGGCAATGGGGGCATTGCTGGGCTACACGAACTGTCCACTTTCCTAGGTGGAGATCTCGACAGCGACAGAGCTCCCTTTTCAACAGCAAGACAGAGCTTGCAGTCGGCAGTGGCGCCGATCCTCTCCCTATAGCATCGCACAGTGGGGAAGATGAATGAGGAGATGGGTTTTTTTCCCCCTTTTTAATTTTTTTTAATATTAAAATTATAGAGTTACAATTTTACCCTTACCTTATGTGGTCAAAATTATTATATTTTTAATTTTTGAAGTCAACTCACAGTTTTTTGGGTCAAACTGACGGA